CCCTGAAGGCGGAGAGAGCTCGCGTCTCGCTCGGCTGCAGGGTAGGTTCTGTGTCGTGAGTGCTCTATGGTATGAAACTTCTCCGAGCAGCCGCCGCGGAGCCCCCACCGCCTCGGCCCCAGCGGGTGGCAAGCGGGGGCCCGGGGCAGTGCCCAGCGGCCAGCAGCACCCCAAGAGACAGTTGTGGGAGCCAGCCGCTATGGGGGCCGCCCTAGCCTCTCCGCGAGGCCGGGAACCTCCCATTAGAGGCAAGCAGAAGAGATTTCTAGGAGCGCCCGCCCAGCCGCACCCCTAACTTGGAGCCGAGGAAATGTACAACAGCCACCCTTAGCAGGCTGCGCCGGGGAGAGGGTGGTGCCGCTCCGGCAGGAAGGCTCTTTTCCTTCGAAGGACAGCGGTGGGGCACCGGAGAACCTGAACAGGGGGACACGCTAGCCCCTTTGTGGCGCTTGCACCCCCTTGAGAGTTGGCTGGTCAGCCCACAGTTCGGCGCTCCCCTTCCCCCAACCCCGTGTCTATGGAGTCTGTTGTGAGTTGCTGTGACAACAGTAGGAGCTGCCCTAAGGGGCTTGCAAAACACCTTACCTTGTCTCTGTGTGCTCAGCTTTCGGGGAAAACAGCAAAGGGGGAGAAGTGCAGACAAGAGAATCCACCCTCCTCCCCGTCCTCCCCCAAAAAAGAAAGTGGAAGGAAGGCACAACTATGTAAAAATGTATCATTAGAGCCTACTGTTAGCTGCACCGTTTCCATCCCCAGCAGTATCAAACATCTCAACTGAGGAGCAATGTCAATATTTAGACTTGGACAAGCCAGAAAGTTAGAAGGAAGCTCCAAGCACAGGGTTTTGACTTGGCTTTGCACGTCAGCACACAAGCTGTGCCTTTGGAGCTGACTGTACACATTTGTTGAGGGGAAAATGCATGAAGGTTGATACATACACAGAGGCACCCAGATCTAGGAACATCTAGGAAGTTAAGACTAGAAGAGCCACCTTGACTTTGAACCTCCCTGTCCTGTGCTGTTCACAGAGCCCTGTAGAATTCCAGCCAGATGCTCAGCTTGAGGTTTCACTAGTTTGGGGCTTCCCCACCCCCAACCAGAGCTGTGCTGCACATTTCAACACTGACATATTCTAAACTGAAAAAAAAAAATACTGTTATCAGTGTTTTTCATCTTTATATAAGTCCTCTCACTACCAGCAGATAGTAAATAGTAGGCTGTGTTTGTTTGATCTAGGCAAGCCTTAGTCAGACTTTTCCAAACATACTCTGACAAATTTGTTTACAAACACTATTTAGAAATTTAGAATTGCATTTCATTTCCAGTAACCTTACAGATGCCTAAGAGAGTCACTGATTGCTAGAAAGTAAACATCAGCTCTTTTCAGTGTAAATAATGTCTGCATACTGCTCCACAGGTGGAGTGGGCAATAAATTATTATGTTAAACAAGGTTTCCTCTGAGATTCCTGGATCATATTTGGACATCTTAGAGGGAAGGAGATTTAACCAGTTGATCCTGTTGTGGACTGTTTTGGAAAATGATTCAGAAGCACTAATATCACAGTCAATATTCTTCTTAACTTGCCCATTCTTTTTTTTCCCAGATTTTGAAGGTAGTGTAAATTTTAAATGTATACGGTTGTGTGTGATCATACAGGTGGATGTTATTGGCTCAATAATACAACTTCTTAACTCTACAAATATAACAGGAAAAACCAGAACTGTTTGGTCTTTCATTATAGCTATATTGTCTAAAAATGCTATTTTAGAGGAACAGCATGCCCACGTCCTATGACTTCTGAATTGGAAAATGCATGTAAGATTCTCATTGTTCCCATCCATCAGTTTGTGGGCAAATGTTTTTTGGCTTTGGGGTTTTTTTGTGTTTTTTGTTTTTTGTTTTTTTTTTGGTATCATCCCCAAGTTCTCGAAAATATATTTTCACAAATGCTACAAAATGCTAACCTGACTATTTCAGGATGTATTTGACCCAAAGAAATGCCACTTTACACTAGCACTTGGCAAAGGTAAAGCAAATTTTGCCCTTTTGGGAAGGAGGGGAGAAAACAACATATATTGAAAACTTTCGAGGCTCTCCATGTGTTCCTGCAGGCAGTAGAATTTATAAAGTATTTCTCTCTTTTATGTAGGTAAGTCCAGCTGTGAGCAGGGTGTTCTGTTCTTCACTTCCAGCAAGCCAGGTCAGTGTCTTTGTGCAAAACCATGATGATAGATTCATGACATCCTAATTCTGAGCATGCATTTCAGAAGATGTTTCTTAGTCATTTGTCTTTAAAAGAAAATTGTCTTTGTCATTTTTTATGGACTCAGTTATGAACATCACAAGTTCATTGATTGCTAAAACTATTCTTTACTCTGTGAGTACAATGGTACAGACGTGGGCCTTGAATCAGTTTGTCCAGTATAAGACTTTTTTTTTTAATTCACTTTGAGTGTCAAAAAGGTGCCAGACAGTTGAGGATACAGGGCATCTGGGTGCTTGATAATTGAGCTTTTACCTCTAATCTTAGCCCTCTGGAGCAGCAAGAAACTTGATATAATAAGAGCTGACATTTATTGAGCATGAATCAAAGTTCAGATAATGTGCTGCATTCTTTATATTCATGTTCTCAGTGTTCTAAATTTTAAAAGATTAAAACAACAACAACAACAAAAACTCTGTGAGGTGAAACGATCCTCTTGAGTCCCAAGCTACAGGTGAGGAATTGGAAGTGTAGAGATGTTAGATAATATATTCAATTCCTACTTCTAGTAAATGGCACAAATAGAATTTTGAAAAAATTTTTTCCTTCTCTAAGACCTAAATCTCTAGTTGAAAAATTCTTCTCCAATAGAGAAATGGAAGCCAAAAAAGCTTAAATTACTTGTCTAATATAGCTTATCTAAGATAATTACCACTCATATAATAACACTCAATGGCCCAGCTGTTGCAAAAAAAATGCATTCTGTTATCTTAAGCACAATACTGAAATTTTAAGTATTCTTGCGTACTTTCTGGCATGGCACTGTCAAAGACACAGGAAAGTTTTTATCGTGGGGTCTCTGGCCTTAAAGATTTTACAAATGGATTTAAAAAGCAAGATATTAAACATTCATGTATTTTAAAACTAGAGAATAAATCAAGATCATACATTTCAGAAGGCTGAATTTGGGGTCAGCAGTACATTTACAAGAAGTTCAGTGTTTTCCACTCTGTGATATTACTTTGCAATTCCTTGTATGCAAGGAAAAAAAATTTCCAAGCACGTTTTTTCGTCCGTATAAATGATAAATGGGTGAGAGTTTGGGGAAGGACAGAATGTAGAATTTCAGCCCAACAGGGAGAGATTTTGCAGTCATCCGGAACTACTAAATTACAGTATCTCAAACTCAAAAGACATTATTGCTTCAAAAGCGTTGTAACAAAATCACGAGCTGTTTGAATCTGCACAGCATCTTTCAAGAAAGCATTATAATTTGGTGTGATGTTTAAAAGTACTGAATTTTTTTTCTGGAACCTCAGTTTGTCTGAAAAGTACCACGTAGATGAATTTGGATATATAATAGATAAATCTCAACCAAAATCCTGAAAATGACCAATATCTAAAGGTTAAGCAAGACATTTTCAGTTTCTGCCAGAATTGGTAACCTTCTCTTCCCCATTCTTCCTTTTCCCCCTCTTTCTTTCTATACAATAATTTGTAACAGTTGTTAATCCTTCTTGGGGAGTTTTTTAATAAATAAGTAATAAAAAGTGAAATAAGGAACAAATTGCTAAAGAAATCGTTAAGATATCTTTTTTAATGTACTGATACTCCCAACTCAAGCTAGTAGCTCCAAAGCTTAGTTAGTGAGTTTCCGCATTTAAGAGGTTGTTATAAGCTGTCCTTTAACAGCTTTGTCCTGTAAAAGTTGCTACATAGTGAATCATTACAAAATAGGTCACATTCCATAAGAGCACTATTATTATTGGAAAGATCCCATTATAGGCCAAGACCTCATCGCAACTGATATATGGTTAGTTGTAATAATGGTATGTCATAAAAATATCAATATAGCAACCATAACCTATAATTTATTTAAAATAGTACAATTATACTTTGAATCATATAATGTTATGGACAAAAGTGGAATTAGCACGGTCTCTCCAATAAGAATCACTTAATTAGCAATCATTTGTTTTCTCTTTTGAACTTCAGTAGGCTTTAGTCAATATGCATGACTTGTCTTTTTTAAAAATGGCTGGAAACATTTGAAACTTTACTGTTTTTGCTTGGGACTTGTACCTGTAGAAAACAGAGGAATTTTTCATGTTTTCTCTTGGTCTTCCTTTTAGAAAATGGGCACTTCAATCTTGTTATTTAAAATCCTCCCTCTGGCTTCATGCAATAGGGTTTAAAGAACACAGGTGATTTGCATCTGGTTCTTGTGTTTATTTTCTTCTCTCCATTAGGCTTCCCACCATCCACACAACACCAAAACAAAACTGGGAGAGGGAAAAATGTGTCACAAAAAGTGTTTGTAGACAAGGGCAGGAGGTGAGAGAGTGTGTGAATGGTAGGGGAGGGGAGAGGAGAGAGAAGGAAAGGCTTTCGGGGGAGCCCAGGAGGCAGTCACTGAAATGGAGGGGATATTTACAGATTGGTAATTTGTCAGCGTTATTTTTTTTCTGTTTTTTTAGTTTATAAACAAATTAAAGCCACCTTCTCCTCTTTCTAACACCTTTTGTTTCTTGTGTGCATAGGGCAAAAATTGGGAAGTGGGCAAATAAAAACACTGACAGTGAAGTGTGGATATGACTGCTGCTCTGGCCCTTCCCACATGTCCCAGGACACTCCTGTCTTCAAATGCTCCCTGCAGTGGTGCCATCAGACACATCAGCATGTCTCTAATCAGGCTTTATTCACAAAAGGGCAAATTGCCAAGTTTCGCAAAGAAAGAGGTGACAGTAGGTCTGGAAGAAAGCAATTATGTGTCTCCACTGTACACCTGAGTTTATTTATTGCCTAGACACTGGTTAATGGCAAGGTCCCAGCATTTGTAAGGTTACGACCTCAGGCTCTATCCCTCTGTGGAGAAATTTCCTTTGAATTGTCAGCCGACCATAGACCAAACCCATAATGACCGCTGTGATAACAATAACTAGCATTTATGTTCTGACTAGATGCCACTTTACCTGCATTATAGTTAATATTCATTATCAAGTCTAATTTTACAGAGGCAAAATATGGAACTCAGAGATGTTAAGTTAAAGAGCTACTAGGAAAGAGAGCTTGGATTTGCACCCAAGTCTATCTAAGCATTTAAATATATATTTGTTCTAAATGAACTCAGAAAACTCACACACACGCGTACACACACACACACACACACACACACACACACACACACACACACACTTTAAGTTATTTCATTCCAGATTACCCTTGCAGATGGTGGAGTATAGAAGTTAAATAATTATTCTTATGGGTTTTTATTAATTTAAAAAATTTTAATTTAACTTGAACTGCAATAGCTGTTTTACCTGGACAAATTGGGTAACTCTTCAGGTCATTTCTAATACATTTTTTGATGGAAGTTACAATCTTAAACAGTTGAGTCAAGGAGGGTTAAATCATGAAGCTAGGAGGGTTCTTATTAAGGATACTTAGTTCATCCTCATATGGATGAAAAACACCGGCACTCAGAGAAGGGAGGTAACTTGACCATTCTCATAGTTAATAAGTGACACAGCCTGAACTGAACCCAGGTTTCCAAGTCCCAGCCAGAGCTCAGTTCCATTACATAACACTGCCTGAAAAGTGCCAAGTCTTCTAAAAAACCCTCCAACCTAGCCAGAAATACAACTAGCAAGTATGAAGTACATCCAAAACCCAAAGGAACATCCAGAAATGGGTGATAAGAGGATTCCAGCTGTGTTAAGATATGGTGGATACTAGGAGAACCTCAATTATCTTCCATAGCACTGAGACAGAACAGTCTTTTTATCTTATTCAAAACATGACACCCCATACTCTGATCCTTTCCAAGCTGTCTTTGTTGAGTGATCTGTTTGGTGCTTTTTCACATTGACCAGGCTCTGGCTTTTAAGTATGCAATGTAGGTGAAATATGATCTCACTTTCCTCAGCTGTAAAATGGGAGCAATATCACCTCTCAGAGGATTATGAGGATGTTGTAACATTACACATGCGAAGCACATAGTAGGTGTTCTGTAAGGGTTAGTTTCAGCTTGGCCTTCTTAGAGTATCTCAAAGGAAAATGTTGTAGCACATCAGGGCAGTTATATCATTTTACCCCTAAGTTTACTGGAGTCATTTGAATTTTGATTTTGAAAGGGATGGTTATAGTAACCTTGTGTACTGAGTAAAAACAAGCCCAGTGGTCTCTCAGGGTGCCAGTGACCCAGTCTTCATTACATTTGTTTTTGTTTTTTTCTCTTTTTGAATTGGGGGTGTCTCACTCTGTCGCTAGGCTGGAGTGCAGTGGCATGATCATGGCTCACCTCCTGGTGATCCTTCTGCCTCAGCCTCCCAAGTAGCTGGGACTACAGACATGTGCCAACACATCTGGCAGGTGTTTTGATTTTTTGTTGAGACATGGTCTTGCTATGTTGCCTAGGTTAGATATTTCTTCACACTCTAGGGTTGCCAGAGTTTACTTGAATTGAATTATTTTATTGCTGTAGTTTGCTACATACTGATACCGTGCTCCTCTAAGAGATGTGTGGCTCTCATTTTCTTTCCCATGCAAGCATCTAATGTGTTTTCTACATAGACCTTTGCATCTCAAACACAACTATTCTCTTTCCAGTCAAATAACTAAGAACTATTTCCAGAATTATTATTGTCAGTAGAAAATTTTTGCTTTGAATTTTGTAACATGTGAGACTTTTTTAGCTTGATTTTGGTTAACTGTAACATTGAGTATGTGGGGTGTGGTGGTCTTTTCTTTTTATCGTATGTTCCTGAGTGATATATCGATAAGAAAAGCATAAACACTACAACCTCCTCCCTTTCATCCTAGGCACTTGATAACTACCCTGGCCTAAATTACATCTCTGGGAAGTGTTTTGTACACTCCTCTCCCAGCTGCCACACTTTGTCATGTGGCACTTGCTGCCCTGCTTTGGACATTTGGAACCAAGTTTTTGGCAACGGGTCCTATTCAGCACATACATGGAGGAAAGCTACTGCTGTGAT